TATATATATAGTCTTGCTGGAGTCAAACTGAGATAAGCTCTGCTTCTATTTTTGATCCCAATTAATTAATTTTGATGTAGGTCTAATTCATGTATTAATATACATTTGATTTGATTTGATTGGCCGAGTGGTTAAGTCAGGGGCACCGTAGCCTTCAGCTCTAATATCACTCGCCAATGGTTCCGGTGGTGGAACAAGTCTTCTCGGAAAAGGACTATAAACCGTAGGCCCAGTGTACGCATTGGGTTTGTGTGCACTTTAAAGAACCCAGTACATTCTTCGAGAAGAGTAGGGGTTCACCCTGGTGTACTGATCCATTAAGTCCCCTGTTGTTAAATGGATATGCCACATAGGACAGTGATTAAGTTCACTTATTCGCATATCCTTGGCACTCGTGCATAAAGAAATATTATATTTTTGACTAATTAATTGAATAGATGTTACTGGAACTGAAACTAGTACCAGTACTACTGTACTACTGTATAGCGGACTACAGACACATAGAGTTACATAGAAAATTGACAATGAAACTATATTTTTAATAGTACTAAATCTGTCATAATTTTATCTCAAACCAAGCAACTGTTATCAATTATCAATTTTAATTACATTTGAGTTAATTAGCCACTATGTATTGATTGAGCAAATACAGTGCACTTAAAGAGATCTTACAAATCAATGGGCATCACTGAGTTGAAAGAATTAGTGAATTTAACCATTCAAGTTGGATTTGAAATTTAAGGTAGAAATCTCAGCAATCAAGATAACCTTTATATCAATCTGTGTAATTCAAAGTGTACTGATAGCTGATTCTTATTTTTGGCAACCAAACTAATAAATGTAAAGAAATTGGAACATCATAGGAAACTCGCCGCAGCATGTAATTAATGGTGTGATATCTGTCTGATATATATGATAAATCTGTTTATTAGTATATTATTATTAATATTATTATTATTATTATCTTTATTATTATTATTATTATAGCGTGAATTACAAATTAATTAAGTCTTTAGGCACTTTAGCATTGTTCCCTTTTTCATGAATTGGTTTCTTTTTAGATATAAAATGTTTTTTTTATTGTTATTTAGGGCAGTAACAAGTAAATAACGTGCAATTTGGCCTTGACCATGATATACAATAGGATCAGACATCAGCGTGATGAAATCACAATTATGATCTCAAGAAATCCCCCAAAAAATAAATTAGTTTTAAAATTGTTTATTCAACCTGCCAATATAACCAAACGTAAAAAACTATGGTCAGATACAGCTTATAAACAGACGTTTACTATAATTTTGAATAATCAGGCTAATGCTGCATGATATGATTACCGGTAATAGCATAATTCAGGAGGAAAAGGGCTTGGCTGAGAAGTCAATTCAGAATTCAAAATAAAATGTATTGTTTCGCATTTCTCTAATGATTCCTAGTTCCTGCCTACAATGCAAACCCTCCAACCTGACTGAATGATTCCGTCACAATCTAACTCAAAAACTGCTTATCAAATTCTACCGCTTGCTACAGTAGGCCCAAAATTATCCAAATCTAAATCTTGGCTCAAAATTGATTAATATGAACAATATTATGATACTAGGCCAAGTTCAATATTGATTCATTCATGTTTACAGTCTCATATCATAGTCATGGATGGTGCTACAACGATTAAATTTCTATAATTAGGCCAAGAGACTTTGTACAGATGATCCCAGCCCTTGAGTCATATTATGTCTGGTCCTGACATCTACAGGAACCTACTGGTATTTGTATCATTTCCAGTCTTGTGAAAAAATTGATTAACTCTACCAATAAAGATAAATCCTGGTCCAATCATTACAACATGATTATGTTGTAATATAACGAACCACAATCATGAATCACTTTTAGACCTACTGACACACCTACACTCTGCTGTTAAAGCATTCACTAATTTAATTCTATTTTTATCCTCAAAATTATTTGGATTAATAGCTATTGTATACATGTACTGTATATATTCCACAAGAATCAAGACAGAATAAAATAAATAAAAAAAAGAAAAAGGAACACATACGACTGTACATCTAATACACTATCCTAGACTAGCATTGCATTGCGATCGGTTGTAGCAATTGCGACACCCAATTGCAATTCACAGTCGTATACGTTGAAGGCTAACGAATAGTAGTTCATAAGTAATCGCAAAACCTGTTGCGAATGGGTGCTACAATCTTATTACACCATGGAATACGATCGCAACAAATTTTACATGCACTGATTGGCTGAGGTCAGCCAACATAATTCTAGCCACTGGAGGCCTAATAGTGTATGACCTCCTGTTCCAATATAAACTATTTCATGTCTGATTTGGTCTGAATGCGCTTGTTGGTTGCAATCAGGAATAATCAGTTTTGGATTTCTACTGATACATCACGATAATCGCAACATTTTTTTCTCATTTTTAATGTTTCTTGCTTTCATTTTTTTTAATATGATTAATTTCAAAGTACACAAGTAGAACTACCGAACAGTACACAAGTACTAAAAGTGTCTACAATAAGAAAGAATAACTAAACCAATTTAAGTATCTAGCTTTGACAAATGGTGGTTATAAAGTCCCAAAACAGTTGTGTATTTATTAAATCAGCTATGGTTTATGAATTTAATCCTACTACAAAGATGCAGTATGCAGTATTATGAGTTACATAAAAAAAATAGGCATAGGCATTCTGTTGGCAGTTGTTGATGTTATAATTTACAGCATACTGTACCTACCTTCCTCTACATCTCCCCGTGCAGCAGCTTCCAATAATGTGACATTTTCTATGAAAGATATTTTCGGTTCTCGTTTCATTTCTTCTTCTGCAAGACCTTTACGAAGTTTTTTAGTTTGATCTTTCTCATACTGATTGTAACGCTTCAGCTGTTGTTGTCGTCGTTTTTTAGCATGTTTAATTCGATCTTGAATACTCATTTTCTCCAAGGATGGCATTTCTGCCAGAAGTTCCGTGTGGTCTCCCATGATAAAATAACGGAATATGTGGAATAATGATCCTTACAAGATTCCTAAAGTGCTGGTTGATATTCAGTAACTCAATGCAACATTTTTTGACGTTACAGCAACAATGGTGACATTTGATAGAATCCAATGGGTGACTTCCTCAACAAGAACGGCTATGAGTCTAACACCAATTTCCCAAGGAAACGATGAGTTTGCATTTGAATTGAATCTATAATTGTAGGTTCATTCAGGTCAAAGTTGAACTATGACACGAAAGGCTTCATATTTTCCTCAGTTGGTTCAAACATGCATTAGCTGGTAATATCCAATCATACCCTGTGGAAGCAAAGTTATGTACAAAAATTAGTTTACATCAGTACACAGTAACACATTTTATGAATTACTATAGGCCTACTTAATCTATTTTCTTAATAGTTTTAAAGTTATAGTTTTAACAAAAAACCTTAAAGTGATCTGCAAAAAGTCTGTTTTAAAATTAATTTACACAAACTTTAATAATTAGATCAAAAGTAAAAAGGACCAATTAATTATGTTTATTAATATCATATTAAATGTTTGTAACATTTCTTGTATTGACTAAAAAATATTACATGAGGCTTTCCGTCACAAAACCAGAGTAATTGTTAAGCTGAGTAATTAGAATAATAACGTAGCAGGATTGTATATTTGAGTACAGAGAAGCCCCAATACTTTTAGTCATCACTTTGGCAGCAAGTTCATTCCAGCAAATCAGCCATCATTTTAAAGCTTACAATATGAAGGATAAGAATACAGTAATGTATATTAAAAAGTCAATTTTCAATTCTGGTTATTGATGCTGATTTTGGGATGACAACCACGATACTATGATCGATATTTTTATCATTAACGCCTCTCTCCTACAGTATTTCCCGTCTTATAAAATAGCTGGAAAGAGCCTTTTCGTCTGGGCCCTGTTGAATCTGACCCAGGCAAATGATAAAGATATTGCTGGCTAGGCTCACCTTCCTATAAAATCCTCTCCCTGGGCCCCCCTTTATTTCAAATTTTTGGATTCGCCACTGTTTCAAACCGAAGAACAATGATAATGAATCGCTAAAAAACAAACAGTTTTTCTAATCCATGTGATAAACATGTTGACCAAGTAACAATAATTTCATAATGAATTTATTGATTCTTTAAATATAATTAAAAACCTCTCTCCCAAAGCTTTCATATCTTACACTTCTGCTTTCATTTTCGTCTCACTAACTGAATGGTGCAAGTTCCTTTCTCAAATTAATAGCATTTCAATTAGGTAATCACAAGTACAGTCGGGATGATATTAACGTTTTGTCACATTTATCAACATTCACTATAATTAATTATCATCTACACTAAAGATGTATATTCAGATGTTATTTAATCAGTAATAGTCTCTTGAAATTTCATGTACAGTAATATCTTGGTCTCCAAAATTTAGTATATTCACTGCTACAAATTTCTCATAATTATGGATGTCCCAGGCCTACAGCTGTCTAGTTGTTGAAAAAAATAAAATTTAAAATTATTAATATGAAGTGCAGTTATGATGTACTACTATTATTGACAAATTATGAGAGGTAGGCCTAGGCTACTGCACCATAAGCAAATGAATTAATAATAATAAAAATATTTACATATCTCAGTATCTATTATTCAAAAAAACAAACAACACAACTACAATATCAAATCCTTAGCAGCCAGTGGCTGAATTGGGGATTCAATTTACAAAGTGAATACCTTAATTAAATTTACAATAAATCATTATCATTACTATTAAGATAAATCAAAATTGTCAAGATTGTTATCATTTTAATTACTTGCTGCTGGCACAGTCGCACACAAAACACCGCCCGGGTGGGACCCCCCACCCCTGGAGTACAAGTCAATTCTCTCGCAGAAAGTACACCTACCAGTAGGTAGAATGGATTAATTTATATAGGGCCTAGAAGAACATTTTAGCGCATTAAAGTAGATGTCCCGGGGCTGACAATGTGCAAATTGATAAGTAGGCATAACTAGAATGAGTACCTATTAATATCATAAATAACAAATATAATGGTTATTGATCATTGAGTCCTACAGTAATATTAATAATAATGGCCATGCTTGCCGGTATGGAGGCTGCTGCCATTTCAACATTAAGAACCCAAACGAAGTATTTATATTAGTGCTACACTTTATGAATTGAATTGAATTGAATTGGATTTTATAGGGCCTAAAAGCAAACAAAATAGGACGGTGCAAGTTCGAAGCTGACCTTCTGAATTTGAGAAGGCTAGAATACATTAGAAGAATGGCACCGGCGGCCAGTTGAAGGTGTAGCCTATAATTAATAAATAGGCAGGTTACGGTGGAGCCCCTTTTGACTAGCTTAGGCTTAGTCAGACTGGTCGTTTTGTCACCAAAACGTCAATACCTAAAACAAACATTAAAACATATATCATTATGCACAAAAATAAAATACACGTTTATTGTTTAATAAAATGGTAGGCCTACTTACTGTCAGTGCAGAACGTTTCACCTACATCGCCTGCTACCTGTTAGAGCCACCAAAATAAACAAAGTTGGTTTGGTTTCTGATGCCTGACGATGATAAGGCCTGTGGTTGTGGTAGTAGGCGTTTACACGGCAGCCGCAATGAAAGGAGAATTCTATCCACCGATCATCTCCCTCTGATTGTACGACCTACAGAGGGCGTCATTACCAAAATGGTCTACATCAGGTTATAATTTACTACATGAGCTTTTCTCTTGTGCTCATGAAAAAAACTTTTTGACTTTGATTTTCAGTTGAGGGTATGCTAAGAAATGTATGCATTGTATTAGTAAACCAATTATGATGAGCATTTTATATCAGAAGTTGAATCATATAAATACCTATGGTACCCGCATAACAATTAAGGACCTAGATCATCACTGATTTGGAATTGGCGCTATATTATATAGCACAGGCATTATTAGCATATTATTATTGCCATTTTCAATCCGAATTATTGCTACATTAAAACGATTATAGATTATTATAATAACTGTATTAATAATTATTATGGTATTATTATGGAAAACAATTGTTCTTCCGATCACTTCTTTTTCCATTCCGACTTGACACAAAAGCTGTATACGGGGATTTGGTGTGGGTGCCTAAAAAGTAAGTTGCCAGAGTTGAGGACTTTGGTGGGTTTTATTAAGATTTGCCTTCCAATTCCAGGGTCCTGTGTTAAATTTCTGTCATGGTTTCAGTTTCAGTTTTTATTGGCACACACTTTTACAACAGTGGCACACACTAATCAGTGGTGCGTCCAGACTAACTAATCAAAAAACAATATAGTAAAATTGAACAAAAGTAAAAAAAGGAAACGCAGAGGTAAACAGAAAAATCAGGGAAGTTAACAAAAAAAGTAAAAGAAAGGAAAAACATCCCAGAAATACAAAATTCAAATCAAAAAAACAAACTGCATTTCAGTAAAAAGCAAGTAAGAAATAAACAATTTAAAAAAAAAATCAAAATCAAGATTTAAAAAAAAAATCCTAATAATGTGCAGTATAATTGTACAGTATAATTGTACTTACATACACATACATATAAAGATATTACATATAATTACACACACGTAAATATACACATTCGTATGTATACATAGTAGTAACAGGATATATTCTCACGACCAATACAACTCCACACCCCAAGCTTTGAATGACACATGGTTCATATGGAAACTTATGATTAAGTTTTGATTACTGGTACAGTATATTCTTTGGTAATTTAATGTTTTCAAATTTGATAAAAATGCTATTTTTTTTTTTTTTTTTTTTTTTTTTTAACGAACATTACAAGTTCTTTTTTTGGGTTGAGCAACCAAATGTTGTTTGAT